GGCCCGGCCCGCGTTGGGGCTCCTGTGGGAGGGACAGGGACAGGGCTCTCGTGTGGCCTGGCTGGGGGTGGCTTTGCTTTGCCTTGTGGCTTAAACTGCGTCTGTTCGCCTGCTCGTGTGGGGTTTTGTGTTTGCTGTTTCACGTGCTGTGGGGGAGGGCTTCCCTGTTCCTCAGGTTCTCGTTCCTGTCTCCTTGCACTGGGAATGCACTTGGCCTTGTGTTGAGGCAGTTCACGGAGAGAAACCAGGTCTGGGTGCTCTTCCAGGGGCAGCTGAGCCAGTGCAAAGCCTGTCCATCCTTCTTAATGATGAAGCGTTTTGTTCGCAGTTGCTCTGAGGAGCTGAACTGGCTGATGGAGGTGCTGACAGGAGCAGCACTGCACCCCTGAGATGAGGAGAGGGGTTAGGTCGGTCCTTTCTTCCTTCCTAGTGACTCACAGCGTGCAGTCTGCTCTGTGAGACTTGTAGAACAACATCTTAACTAGCTCTCAGCCCCTGGGCTGATGTTAACTCCCTGACCTGACTGTTGAGACAGCTGAGCACCAGTGCACGTCTAAGAGAAGGAGTGTGATGGCAGGGGAGAGGCTGAACAGCAGCAGCCCATGCTTAAATCTGTGTCAACTACCGTGTGGTCAAATCCGAAACAATGGTGGCACGCCAGAAAGGATGAAAGAAGCCTGGGGTGGCTGCCTTGTGTGTACCCCACAAACAGACCCACAGGCCCCGGAGGGGATCTGTGCCTCTTTCTGGATGCCTCTCTTCCTCAGGGAGATGATGGAAATGTGTTTTTAAGTAGATGTATTAATATTTGTATTTTTTATATAGTTTATCTGTAGATAGATCACAAACTTATGTATGCATGCACTCGTGCTCATTCTCTATTCAGTGCCTAGATTATTAGGCGTTTTAGCCAGTTTAGTAACTCCTCCGCTCCTAAATAATTGCATGACTTATGAAAAATTTCACTTACAAGTCATGTGCACCACGTTAGGCATGCTGCTTCCTCAGAAATAAAACTAAACTGTCTGGCATTCTTCCTCCAGCAAAACTAGCTGCTGATCAAAAAAGTTTTGGTTCAGACTGACAATGCTCCTGGAGGCACTGGTGGGTATGTCACTGATTTTCCTCTAAGATGGCTGGAAAAAATACTGTTGTCCTCATTCACTTGGAGTAGGTGTGGTTACTTACCGAGATGGTAAATTAAGAGTTACTACAGTCAGTGCTACTGACTGTTCTCTCTCTGTTTTGACTAGCATCCCAGTCACAGCCAGCTTCAAAATGAATTCGTTTGGTTATGCAAAGCAGGTGCTTGCCTTAATGAATGTTTTCAAACTAAGAACAACTGGTTCAGCTCCCTGAGGTCCCACCCTGATGTGGTAGTGTGTTTTTTTTCCCTGCTTGGTTGTGTTACTGATGCTAGATCTTGTCTTTCTAACTTGTGGTTTTTTTTTTTCTTTATTTTCCTCTCTGTTCTTCCATTCTATTAGATGTTTTGGATCCAGAGAGATTAATACAATGTCCATATAATAAACATCATCGAATCAGAGCCTGTCGGTTTCCCTATCACCTTGTAAAGTGTCGGAAGGTAAGCTGGGCTGCCAAACACAGCACTAAACGGGAGGAATTCTGTGCATGTAGATATGACATGCACGCTCTCATTCTTGTTGCGTTTTCTGTCTGTCTGGAGTAACTTTCTGACAGATAGTCTTGTTTAGCCTCTATTTCATATAACTTTATTCTTTGTTTAGTAATAGCTTCAAGCTCATGTTAATTCATCCGAGAGCAGTGTGGCTCTGTTGAAAGGACATAGGTTCTTCGTGGTTAGGTCAGGGAAGAAATTCTGGTTTCTTCCAGCAGCTCATATAGAGGTCAGATACATTTTTCCACTGTAAGTTGAAGAGAGAACTCGGTCTGAGTTATATGCACCCCTTCTGACTAGTGAGAGTAGAAGTGTTGCGATGTTGCAATTAATTTTTTAAGTGCTGGAAATGCAGCTGCATAGCAGTGTGGGTTTTCTTGCTTTGTTTTGCTAATAACTATTTAGCGTGCATCTGTCAGAAACTGCACATCCTGGGCTCAGCACATATTGGAGAGGTTTTTTTCATCTTTTATCCAGAATTTGAACACAAATTATTTAATAGGAGGCATTCCTTCTTCCCTGCACCTCTGTTGTGTTCTTGATTTGTTTGTTTTCTTTAAACCTGTCTGGTGGTAGCATCTGATTGAGCTTTGGGGTTTTGCTGACAGCTTTTAAAAACTGATTGTTCCTCTTTGTTTTTAAAACAGTAAATGCATTTTAAAATAGTGATTTTAAAATAGTTCTGTGCCTTCTAGTTAAGAAGCAGTTGTAGTGTCTGTGTCCTGTTGTCAGTACTTAGAAACAACTCAATTTTGGTGGAACCTAGTTCCTTAAAAAATATTAAGAAACAGGTGAGCAGAGCTAAGCTGCAAGTACCTCGATCTTTCCAGCATTCGAAAAGGATGAAATTTTCCTTGTTGACCCCCTGCAAATTTTGGTGAGAATCTGCGTGTGAGACAGGTGAATAATGTTGGCAGGTAAACTTTTAACCATGTTGGTTTTGTCCTTGTGTTGCATAACTGATGACCAGATAGTTTTGGCAAGCTTTAGTGAGGCAGGTGAGGTGAGATAGTGATCACCAGCCAGACTATCGGACACAGTTGGTGTCTGTAGGTAATTAGCAGAAGAAGGGCTTGGAGATTATTATCTGATCCATCTGAAGATGTCACTGTGGTTGTTTGTAGTGGCAACTGCCTGAGCAGAGATTATCCTTCTTGCTTGGTAGTTTGTTGAATTTCCTTTGCATACGCTATGCATAAAATTCTATTAAATGCTTCCACCTGCCTCAGCTTCCCTTTGCTTTGTGCGAAACGCAGCCCTGCCACATAAATGGAGACCCTGTGAGCAGAGCAAGATGAATCCTCTCAGCTTGAACTGTGTTAGCACTGAGAAGCTCCTGCTACATGGCCAGAAGAGCTTGTGCAAGGTAGTTGAAGCAAATGATAGAAACACGAGGACACAGCAACCCTGGGCAGGCTGCAGGCACATCCGAGGCTGTTGTCATTACCCAGTCTATACAGCAGGGTTGCTGTGATAAAGTTTGACTTTGAGTGGTAATCCTGTAGCACCAAAGTCTGCAGGTGGAATGCTACCAACTCCCTAGCTGTTTTGAAAGGCTTAAGGAATGTCTCTGCCTTTGTGCCTGCATATTTAAAAAATATCTCAATGGTTTAGACTTGCCTAGCATCTCTCCCCTGTTGTTTTTACAATAGTTTTGTCTGTGCTTTAAACCATGCAGCTATATTGCTAGTGTTGTAGCAAACTGTAGGAAGTTTAACTAAGGGTTATTTTTCAGTCAGCTTAAAGGTAGCTAGGTTTCTCACTGAATTGTGGTTTAAAAAACAGTCATGTTAGCTGCCCTTGCATTTGTAGTAAGTGTCTGAACAATATGTTGCCATTTTTTTTTTAGTCTCTCTTTTTAAAGCAACACCACAAACATCCTTGGTTTTTGTGTTGGTTTTTTTTTTCTATGGATTAGCAAGAGAGAAGTGGAGTTGAGCGATATGGCACATGATTTTGGTTTTCCCTTGTCTAGAGCTACCCTGAAGTTGCAAAGGAATTGGCCACGTGCCCCTTCAACGCTCGCCACCTAGTTCCTCAAGCTGACCTCAGCAATCACATAGCAAAGTGCAATGACAAAGGGTTCCTTGAGCAAGATATAGGTAAGACGAACACCCATGCTCCAAGATATTTGTTTACCCTGGGGACTGAAGTCTCCTGTTTGTAAGGATGGCTCATAGAATAACCAAAAAGTCAGAGTCAAATTATCATCTACACAGAAGCTTTGGGGAAACTTGAGTCTTATTTGCTTAGATTTATTGGGTGTGTTCATGAGAATACTGGATAAAAAGGTTGTACTCTAGACTGTGCACATTGAAGTACCTCCAGCAGGAACTGGGATGTTTTAAAGACCAGCAGGACCAGCACTTTGTTTTTGTAGAGCTGGTCTCCCTTTCTTGAGGCTTGACCACTGGTGTCACGTGAAAAGGTGATTTCTGCCAAACAGCTGTCTAAGCTACGGACACCCCTCCAGCTGTTCTCTTCCAGGGTGACCTGAATAGTTCACTCCCACCAAGAGATGGGGCAGCTCCTCTTCCCGGCTGCTCTGCTGCTGCACTTGCTTCATTTGCCATGCAATTAAGATTTCAGTCTCCTGCCCAGTGAGACAAGGTGGTAGGGGGGGCTGTCCAAAACCCCCAAAATATTTAGGAAGGCATCCTGTGATACACAGTGTCTTTTCCATCCCCTGCAGTGGCTCTTTATTGCCACTCTACAGAGCAGATAGATGGTCTATCTTCTGTAGAGTTGCACTGAGGCTAGCAGCGATGTCTGTGTTCATGGAAACAGGTTTGCTCTTCACTCAAGCATTCCTGAGGGGGCAGTGTCTTCTACTGTTCATTGAAAAAGGTGAATTCGAAGTTGCTCGACTTCAGATCAGTACGTAGCTCCTGGGTATACCTGACTGTTTGCATTGTGCAGGGTTTCCTCTAAAGTCAGGAGCTGTTTCACAGCTTGATCCAAAGCACTTAATGCCTCTGAAGTGGGATTGACTGCTACTCACTGAGTTTTTCTCTCTTCCTGAAGTGAATCAGTACTCTGGCTTCCAGAGAGAGCAGATGAATCCTGTGAGCACATGGCAGGCACCTCCATGTGATGAAGACTGGGAAGAAGGTGAGGAACTTCCCTGGCTGCCACACTGCTGCCTTCTCCTTGGTCCTGTCCTCCAACTCCACTTGGAACAGCGCGAGTCCAGGGATGCTGTTCGCTCAGGTCCCACTTATCGGACACCCTGCATATTCTCATTCCTAGAAACATGCATTTCTCCACCTAGAAGGCTCTTTCTTCTTGGTGTAGAGAACTGTTCAACACGCCTGCTGTAATTGGCATGGAGATATATTTCCAAGCATCTGCCCCTCCCCATGTGAGCTTTTGTACTTTATGTGCAATGATGACAATGGAAACATGATAACTTTTATGTTCCTCAGTTAAATGACAGTGAAGCAGGCACATTCGCCATTAGATCAACTTTTACTCCCTCTTGAACATGTAGAAATACGACAGAGATATTCCTGATCTGATGGTGGTTGCTGGAGTTTCTTAGTTCTGAGCCACAACATCTGTTTCCTTTTTCAGAGTCGCTGGAGCAGTCAGGTTCTCCTTTTGTTTGGGGCATGACCAAACACGATATGAACAGGTAGCAAATGTGAATTTAATTCTTTACAGCAATGTTTTGTACAGAGGAATATTACAGCCTACTCCCAACCCAGCCTCGATGGCTGGACATGGGCTGACTTTCTACAAACTGGGGGAGGGGGGTACTGGTTAACAGTGAACATTGTTAGGGTGCTGGTTCAGTGTTATTTGCTTTCTCATGTGACTGGCCTATACAAGAGAAGGAAGCCTTTAGGGACACAGAGACTCGGTGCTCTTGTATGTCTGTGGCAGGGTGCTCTTGCCTATGTTCAGCTGGATGTCTGGCCAGTGTGCTGGGGAAAAAGGTGCTGAGCCTTTGTCCTGAATTAAATATGTGGCCAGGTGTCTCAGTCTGGAGCCTTTTCAAACAGTTACTGAGCTTCTGTTGAGCTAATGGTAAGCTAGCAGCCCCTTTTGACCTCCTGTCACCTTCAACTTGGCTGGTGTAAGGGCCCAGTGTTAGCAGAAACTCCCCCCTCTTGCCCTTTGCAAAGCATAATCACAGGTTGGGTTTGGGGGAGTGGGGAGTTTAATGGCCAGCTGTGAACTGAATGGAGCTGTCTGGACTGGTTTGGTGGATCCGACAGTGGATCGTGGTTGCAGGCCGTTTATGAGATGTGGTGACACCGCCAAAGTTGCCAAAGCATGTTTGAAGGTTCGTCTAAGCCCGTATGTAGCGACAGTCCTGCACCTGACAGCTCTGCGGTTCTGTTTGAGCTCAACTGTGATTCCTCTCCTCCCATAACAACAGTGACATCTGGTTTCACTTGTTGCGCTTTTTGCAAAACTTTCTAATGTTTAGAGCATATATAGAGCTGTTCTGAGCACCCCCGCCTCTGAGAGGCAAAGTACCGTCATTGCCTTACGTCCCTGCTCTCCTCTGCTCTATAGCAAAATGCATAAATTTGAGCAAGTGCATTTGTCAGGAGAAGTAACTGAAGTCTTTCAGTTCCAGTGCCACTTCTGAACAAAAGAACTGCTTGCCTTCAAGAGTACGTGCCCCTGAGTCCTTCCCATATGCCATATGGAAAAGCTGTAAGTACTACGTGTGTGGTTTTGGCGCTGTGACTTCCGCAGATGGTGACAGTTGCTGAAATCTCTGTAGCAGCGCTTTATGGCCACTGCTGCATGGGCAGGAGGGGTAGTAGATGTGGTATATAACACCTGCCTCCTTGAGAGCAGCTTCAGAGGGAATCTGATGCTTGGATCATCTTCAGTGTCCTTTTTTTGAAGCATCCTCAGTATTCTTTATTTCATATTCTTGATGGGCCCTTCATTACAGTCTTCCAATTTAAGCAGCCCCGCTCCCTGGCCACTTTGGCTCTGTCTCTTTAAACAAGTCCTCCCACACTATCTACACTTAACCCTTTCACTCCCAACCCTCTCCCCTCTCTCCCTCCCCCCGACTTAAACCAAATTATTTCCTTGTTTTGTGGAACTCTGCTTGCTGTCAGACAGAGCTAAGTCAGAGCAAGGGTAAAACTAGGGCTGCTTAAAATGGAGGGAAAAAAAAAAAACCTATCAAACTACATCTGGAGGTGGGAAGGACGGAGCTTCCTGTGTTGAAGTGTCTGATGCTGAAATCACAGACCATTATTGGCCATTAGCAGCAAAGCAGAAGCTTAAAGGTGATTTGAGGAATTACCATCTTGTTTCCCACTTGGAACAACTAAACCTGGTGCTCTTAGGGCTTTGCAGATGCGGCTTCTGGACAAGCCAGTGACTGCGATTGCTGTAGTGTCAGGCTGAATCTGCCAAACCAAACTGAAATGTCGCTTGTAGAGAAGCCTTGTTGCCAAAGTGACAAGTGGTGCTTCAGCAAAGGCCACTCTCACTTGGGGGAGTGGAGGAAATTATTGTATTTTTCTTGATCTTGTGCAAAAAAAATGTCTGGCCCTTTTCAGAGTTTGGAGTATTGGCGTCTCTTCCCCCTAGTAAGTTCACTCCCCCACTTTCTAGGACCACAGAGCTTCTGCAGGTGGCAGATATTCTCTGGACCTGATGGCAGGACTCCATAGACGTCACTGTTGCTGGATGACATGTTTTTGCAACATTTGAGTTTGTAAAACCATCTTCGGTTGCCAAATCTTTTTCCCCAAGCATTTGTTTCATAAATTACCCTCATCTCGATTTGGAGATCTTTGTTACTGATAAATTTACACAGCACCAGCTCACAAGCCTTCCCTCCTCAGCCAGCAGCTGAGTAGTTAACAGGAAAAATGCACGAATTAGCAAGTTGGTTCACTTCTTCAATGCCAGCGCTGATGATCTGTGAAGTTGTGATTTGCTCCAATTGTAAATTTATTCCAGTGATGTGGAAACAGCAGGAGAACTCTTCTGAAGGGGTGGTGGGTTTTACGGGGTGGGGGTGGGCAAGGAGGATGATTTTAAGTAGAGGAGGTAGAGTCTGATTAGATTCCTGATCAGAGGAGTGATAGTGGGAAACAGAACAGCACGGGGAGGGGGAGAGTGATGCACATACCACTAAAATCTTGTCCCTTAGCTTGATGCTTTAAAACAAATATGCATTTGCAAGAGGTCCCTTCAGAGTTGTGTACTGGTTTGGTGCTGACTGTAAATGGATGCAGTTATGCTTGGGGTGGGGAGAAGAAATGCCCTGTAAAACAGCAGATGTGTGTGAATTCAGGCCTTGGTGTAGCAGCAACTATTCTAGAACCATTTCAGCAGAAGTCAGGAACCACACAACAGAGTAATTTCCAGGAATTTTTACCCTGCACCGTAAGCTTGTGTCTTGCGTCTGCAAAACTGTATATTAGCTACACTGTGTACCTCTGGTACACTGTATATTACTGTTTCCAGGGTTGTATGGTGTTTAGAGTGATTTCTGTGGGACATTTGTGAGAACATTTGGTTATTTGCTGGGGAGGTGCAGAAAACCTTCTCTGTAGTAAGCTGTGGTCATCACATCTGTAACTCATGAAGTCATAAGTGAGGGCCTCCTACAGCCTGGAGAGCGTGAAGTAAGTTCTGAGAGTTTCTCCAGCCTGTAAAGAGGCCGAGACTTCCTACTGCATAATGTTTTTTTAAAATCATCTGGATCAGCCAAACCTAGAAGTATTTTAAGTGCATGTGCTTTTTGCTTTTTATTTTGTCAACGCCTGAGTTGTGAGTCCACACAGGGTATGTAAAGTGGACAGCTTTGGTTTTAAACTACATTGTGATTTACAGAGATTTCTGTCTTCTTCCTAGAAAGCATCCTGATTGCACCTTTGCAGGTTCAAGCCTTAACTTTGTCGCCTGGGTGTGTGCTGCTTCAAGCCGTACAATAGTGGGGAATCCTCTGTGAATTCTTTACAGTGTGCATAACACCAGACAGGTGAAGTTTAAAGAGTACACTTAATTACTTGTCTAGTTCCCATTAGGGTTTTGTGGGTTTATAACACTTTAAATATATTTCAGAGCTCTAGTGTAACTGTTCTTTGTTGGGGAGTTGGGGGAGGGGGGCAGGAATGGTTTAAATTACTAAAAATACATGTTTGGGACTGTGTAAATGTTTGGATCAAGCAGTATATTTTTTTTAAATGGATGCAAACTACAAAATGGGATCTAAATATACCAACACATAGAATTAAGAAACCAGACGTGGTATTTTACTAGAAAGAAATTAATGCCTTTCACATTTTGAAAAGGATGTTCCTCAACATACTGAGTTTGCACCATTTGTATTACTGCCAGTGTAAAATGACACGTACAAAATTAGGATGATTTTAAAGTTTGGTTCTGTCAAAGTTCTTGTTGGCAATTTAGAATAAAAAGTTTATTAATACTCTTGGACCCATCTATCTTTCTAAAAGACATCTGCAATGATTTGTTACACTCTTGCTCTGTTGAATAATTAAAAGCTTACACACAAGCCCTCCACTTAACTTTCATTTGTCACCACTTTCATTCAGAGTGAGAAAAACATATGTCAGCTGCTTGATCATTTGTGGTTTGGCTGCAGTAGCTTATTTGCAGCCCTCGGGGTTTAGGGCTGAGACCCAAACTGGCCGATGGTCTGTTCCATCCCATGCCCGGCATGGCCAGGAGAGAGGTGAGGATCCTCTGGAAACTCATCCCTTTTTGTTCCAGATCCCTTTTGCTCTGGGTCATCTCACTCCAGGTGGTCCCTCTCCTAAGGTCTTCTTCCAACCCCTCGGTCAGCTCTTGGTCTGGGACAGTCGGGCTCTTATCTCCGTTCTGGGATTGCAGTTTCAGGACTCTCCCTGCTCCGGGATTGTTGGCTGGGAATGGGCTGAGCCTTGGCCATGGGGTGATGAGCAGTGTCACTGTGTGTCACACATTTGTATATCTGTATATATCACTGTTATTATTATTTCCAATATTATTGTAGTTTAGTTATTGAATTGTTCTTATC